TGGGGGGGGGGTGAGGGCTAGAACCCCAAGAAACAAGTAATCAATAATGGCTGAATACAATATTCCACTTTAAGCCGCTTGGTTTGTTTGACATAGTTCATAGAATATGAATCTCAACCCAATCACAACACATTTTTTTGTCATAATTCATAGAAGATGAATCTCAACTCAATCACTACCCACATTTTTTTGTTCATTGTACTTAGAATACGAATTTCAAACGAACCCAAGCTCAAATTTCAAATTTTTCGTTTTGTTTATTTTGTATTGTTGCCGAGATGTATTAAATTTATTATTATTTTTTTTAAAATTATTTTATTGTATAAAAATGGTAACACATTTCTTTGATATCTCCTTGCTAAAAACAATTCACAGTTTTTGTTCCTAACAGAATTTTTCATTATTGATAAGTGAATCATATCTAGAATTAAAGGTAAAAACCAATTATTTTTTTTAAACAAATAAGAACTCGATAAAATAGATCATTAGTTCAAGAAGTAAATATGAGTGTTTTACTACCCATTTCTATGTTAACACCTGCGAAATTGTTTAACTTTACATATTAGCTTGGCTTAATGTTTATCGTGTATCCATTAAACGGTGTACCTTGTATCCATTAAACGTGTACCTTGTATCCATTAAACGGTGTACCTTGTATCCATTAAACGGTGTACCTTGTTTCCCTTAAACGGTGTACCTTGTATCCATTAAACGGTGTACCTTGTATCCATTAAACGGTGTACCTTGTATCCATTAAACTACCAGGAAGAGGAAGTTGCCCTCAAAGTTAAACTTGAACTGATTTATCGATACCGTAATTGATTGGACTCTGCGTTCTATAATCAGAGAAATAAGCACCGGGGCACAACAAGGCTGCGTTCTCTCCCCTGTATTGTATACACTATATACCAATGATCTTCAAAACTCAAGCGACACCGTTCCCATCTTAAAATTTGCTGATGATACCACCATTGTTGGCTAAATATCTGATGCAAAATGTCTAGACCGCAATTTAGTCACAAGCTTCATCAACTGGGGCGATGAAAATTTTCTCCAGCTGAATGTCTCAAAAACAAAGGAAATGGTTGTTGATTTCACGAGGGGAAAACACCAGATTAGGCATCTCAACATAAAAAATCAAAGTGGAGAAAAAGTGGAGGCATACAAGTACTTAGGTGTCACCATTAATAATAAGCTAACATGGCATGAGCACGGCCAAATGCTGTATAAGAAATTCAACCAAAGACTGTTCTATCTCAAAAAGCTGTACAATTTCGGCGTAAAAACGCAAATCATTAACTTATTCCAAAGTGCAATAAATGGTAGCCTACTGAATTTCAGTATTACCTGCTGGTGTGGGAAATCAACATCTGATATTAAACACCGCATAAACCGACTAATCGAGAAAGCTAGGAACAGAATACAAACTAAACAACTCTTTGAAGAAAGATGTTTTTTGTAAAACTAAACACATTTTGGATGATACATCTCATCTTCTTCATGGCAAATACTTAGGGTCGGGCCGTTCGGGACGAATTCTTTCCGTCAGGGCGAGAGGACTGAAAGATATAAAAATTATTTTGTTCCCCAATCTGTACGAATTTACCGGCGTGCTCCCTCTGAAGTCATAAATCATCATGAGAACTAATAAATCCCCGATTTGGCTAAGAGAACTCACTGAATGGCTGTTTGAGATAATTTATAAAAAATGTCTTGTCTTCAAATTGTTTTATTTATGTGCTAAAAATGAATAATGAAATAAAAAAAAAAACATTTCCATTTATCTGGATCAATAAAATAATCTTATCTTATTATATAAAGAAGAAGGCCTTATGTCTGCGCATTGGCATCCTTAACTGGGATGTTCCTGGTGCAGAGTGCGTGGTGGTGTTGTTGTTGTTCAATTATGAGAGCGCCCACGCTCAGGATAAATCGTATCAAGGCTGAAGAAGCTGTCTCGACCGTTACAGATTTTTTCCCACTTGCCATAGACGTGTTTCAAACATGGTTTTGGTGTGACCAAAATATCGCCCATTTCCGTTAAGTCTTAAAAATGGGGATTGGGGGGGGGGCTATTTAGAGAATTAGAGGCCGACCGAATTTCGGCTTCGGCTTCGGTTTCGGCGCCGAAAGTGGCCATTTTATCACTTTCGGCCAAGTTTCGGTTTCGGCCGAAACTGGAAAGTTAACTTTCGGCTTAATTTCGGTTTCGGCCAAAAGAGAAAAGTTAACTTTCGGTTTTTCTTCGGTTTCGGCCGAAATTGACTTAGACTTTCGGCCATCCGGCCGAAAGTTACTCAGGTTTTCAGTCATTTAATACTAAGCGAAAGCGATATTTAACAAAAATCTAAGCGACATTTAAGAACAAATTAAGCGATCTTTGAGAACAAATTAAATGATATTTAACAACAAACTAAACGACATTTATGAACAAACTAAACGATCTTTAAAACAAACTAAGCGATCTTTAAGAACTATCTAAGCGATCTTTAATAACAAACTAAACGATTTTTAAGAACAAACTAAAGAATCTTTAAGAACAAAACAAATGATCTTTAATGAATTATAAGAATAAACTAAGCGATCTTTAACAGAAGACTTAATGTTCTTTAAAAACAAACTGAAATATCTTTAAGAACAAACTAAGCGATCTTTATGAAAAAACTAAGCGAATTTACAACAAATTAAGCGATCTTTATGAACAAACTAAACGATCTTTAAGAACAAATAAAGCGATCATTAACAAAAACTAGACGATCTTTAACAACAAACTAATGCGATCTTTAAAAACAAACTAAACGATCTTTAACAACAAACTAAACGATCTTTAACAACAAACTAAACGATCTTTAACAACAAACTAAACGATCTTTAACAACAAACTAAACGATCTTTAACAACAAACTAAATGATATTTAAGAACAAACTAAACGATCTTTAACAACAAACTAAACGATCTCTAACAACAAACTAAACGATCCTTAACAACAAACTAAGCTTTCTTTAAGAACAAATTAAGCGATCTTTAAGATTAAACTAAGCGATATTTTAGAACAATCTAAGCGATCTTTATGAACAAACTCACCGATCTTTAACAACAAACTAAAC